AGCTCAGTGGCACAAGTGCCTGTCTAGCAAGCACAAGGTCCTGAGTTCGATTCCAAGTACAAAAAAAAAAAGCTGGCCTTGAGCTCACTTTGTAGCCCAGGCTGGTCTCGAACTTGCAACAATCCTCCTGCCTCAGCCTCCCAAGTGCTGGGATTATAGGTGTGCGCCACCACACCTGGCTGTTATGCCATTATTTTATGTAACTAAGAAGGATTCATTTAAACTATGACACAATCTTTCTTATTCTCTGTGACAGCATAACTTGAAGTCAGTTATAAAAAACTATCTTTAAATGGATAAAATACAGTATATCAAAATAGTTTCCTTAGAGAATTCTTATTAATTCCAATAGAGTATATTTAACTGCGTATTAATTCAAAAAAATAAAATTCTTAGCCAGGTGTGGTAGTGCATGCCTGTAATTCCAGTACTCTAGGAGGTTGAGGTAGGGACACTGCAAGCTCAAGCCCAGCCTGGGCAACTTAGCAAAACCTTGTCTCAAAAATAAAAAAGAGCTGTGGATGTAGCTCAAGATGAAGGCCCTGGGTTGAACCCCCAATACTACAGAAACAAAAAGTCAACAAAACAACCCCAAACACTTAAAAGTTGGAGGAGTCATTCATTCATTCATTCATTCATTTTATCCGGGGAATTGAACTCAGGACCTTGCACATGCCAGGCAGGTATTTATGCCACTGACCTATATCCCCAGCCCTTATTTATTTATTTTAAAGAGAAAAGAAAGAGGGGGCTGGGGATTTAGCTCAGCGGCAAAGCGCCTGCCTGGCAAGCACAAGGTTGTGAGTTCAGTTCCCGGTACCGGAAAAAAACCAAAAAAAAAAAAAAAAAGAGGAAAGAAAACAATAACAAAATGACAATAATGAAGACACAAACAAAACAATAAAAAAATAAAAATACAGGAAAAATTAGAAGAGTCTTATAGAGACACATATTTGAACACTATTGTTCAAAACATTCAACCTTTTTATATTTTGGACACGCTAAAACCTATGATATGTTGAATATATGTACCAAATAGTCACTGTATAAGGTTAAGGTTTAATTTCTGGGAAACAGTTTTATGTAAAGCCTGGTGGAAATGATAAGTAACCAAACTATAAGTAATACCATATTTTGGTCAAAAGTACACTAATGAGGTTGACTTTTAAAAATATCTTTATGCTGATTTGGTGATTTATTTTAACAGAAAAGATTTTAATAATTATTATAAGCTTCAATAATTATATCTATTGGAAACAAATACTCAGAGCATTTATTTGGACCTAGAGAATAGTGATACAAAAAGAGCTGACAGCAGAACTCAATTTTCTCCACGATTCTGGTCACAAACCAAACTGGACAAGAAAGGAATCAAATTTCTCCTAAGGTCAACACTGAACCTCAGTGAACCTCACTACTGAATTTGATTCAGTTCTCTTTTAGCTGGGTTTGTGACCAGAATCATGGGAAGAATAGAGTTCACGACCGAGCTACCACTGCATATGTCAACATAAGACCTCTGACAAGAGGGGAGGAAAAGCTAAATATATAAAGGGTATGAATATTAAGTGCACAAAGTTCTGAGAGAGAACTGTGCTTCAGCAGTGATCTTCTAGGTTGTTTTATACCAATTTTCCTTCTGGTTAGAGTAAGAAATACAAGATAAAATAAATCTTAAAAACATTTTTAAAGAAGCCAAGTGCTACCATGATAGTGAGAGTCTGGTGTTGATAGCAGGAAGGTTCTCAAGGCCCAAAAGAAGATGAAACAAGAAATGTGAGCCCTGTACTTCACAGTTTCCCCTTTAAAGTGACTGCTGATTTCAAAGGTAAAAGCTCTATATGAAACCCCGAGCAGTAAAGCTACCAGGAGGGAGTCTCATTACAACACAGAAAAACTCAAGGGAGCAGTGAAGATGAAGGTTGCTGGTAAATCCTTCAGGGTTTCTGGTTCATACCCAGAGGGGGTGCACAGCAGGAGAAAGCACAGGCTGAAAACAGACTGGGCTTCCCCTAGACTTCATCCTGACTGGATCACGTGAGCTGCCTAGCTGGTCAGCTACTGCAGGAAAAGGAAAGCCCCTCTGGAGGAAGACAACCTCACCTAGAGCTCAAATTACTGTTTCTATCCTTCATCCTTACTATCCAACACTCAGAAAACAAACAAAACTAGGCTTACAAAAGGATAAGAACTGATTACCGAGAGAAAAAAAATAAAAATGAATTGAGTGTGATATTTGTTAAAATCAGAACCTTTATAACTCATATTTTCAAGAAATTAGATGACAAGAAAATTTCATAAGAGCTGCAAGCTACACAAAAAAGTCAAGTAAGTATTTAAAAACTTAAAAATTGTGAGTTATAAAAAGAGTATTGTCATATTTTTAAAAGACTCTCTAGCTTCTGAGAGATACTATATTTATAACTAATACCTGAGATCTTCAAAATGATTTAGGACTGAATGAAGAAAAAACAAGATTAGCAGCAAGCTTATTTTTGAAACTAAGTATTGGTGTACCAGAATTGACTGTAAGAGTCTCTTGACTTTTGTACACATTTCAGATTTTTCACGACACTTTTTTTTGAGAAAAGACGTCAGTATCTGTCCAGGCTGGTACACTCTCATCCTCACTCAGCCCTCCCGCCAGCTGGGACTACAGACGGGTGACACCATGCCTGGGTTAAAACATTTTTTTTTTCTTTTTCTATTTTATTGTTGGTATATCTTTGCAACACATAATAATTATATTCATCTTGGGGGAGCTGGTACATATACTCTTAAAAGACGGGGTAGAGATAAAAAGTTTATCACAGATTACTTTATTCTCAAGTTATAAACTTAAAATTGTAACTGCTGGATATCACTGTAAATATGCTTTTAAAAATCACTTGTTAGTACAATAGAATAGGTAATTTAGGGAATTATTTGAACTTCTGCCTATTTCCTATTTATCTACCTTCTATTTTACTCTTTATTTGTGTATATAAATATCTATTCATTTTTTCATATGACATGATATTTTTGTGTGAGACTTACTTTTCTTAACATTTTGTTCCTAAGTTGCATCCATTTACCTATGAAATGCTAATACATTTCATTATATGACTAGTTTCTCTTAGTTCATGGAAAAGGAAGTTTTGGGCTAGTATCTGTTTCTTCTTTGTAAGAGAAAGTCTGTCTTTAAGACTACTTTGATACACAACATATTAATTATTGTTAGTCTCTTATTTTTCATAATATTCTCTTATTTTTTCATAAAATAAAAATTTTTAAAAGATAGCTTTTAATAGATAATAAAAAATTACTTTCTAGAGAATTGGGATTGTTA